TGGGTTCATACAAAACACTCATTTATGATTTGCCATTTTGTCACAAGGTTATGTTGGAGAGTATTTGCAATCTTCCTTGTATTTACTTTTAGTGAAATGTTGACCAAATACCCAGACAACTGGATGACCATGAGCAAAGGGCTGAAAACCAAAGATGTTCAATCTTTTGAAGGGTTTTTTGTTGCTTTTTAATAAACTATGAATAAATGTAACATTTTTAACAAGTAGAAAGTTAAGGAGATTTTTAAAGTCATGTCAGGTGTGAACAACCAGACCCACATATGCAGAATTTATTTATTTATTTATTTATTTTATTTTATTTTATTTTATTTCTATACCGCCCTACTCCCGAAGGACTCAGGGCGGTGCACAGCCAAACAATAAAACACATACATACAAAATTTAAAAGTAGAATAAAATCAAATTAAATAATTTTGGCCCCGACAAATTTAAAACCCCAAACTTTTAAAACCACTTTAAAATTGAATGTATAAAATACTAAAAGATATTTAAAAATTAAAAATCTTTTATAAAAGAGGGAGAAAATTAGGCCAGGCCCGCCTGGTGAAATAGTAAGGTCTTTAAAGTGCGGCGGAAGGTGCGCAGATCCGGGATCCTCCGTATCTCTGAGGGGATATGCTAACTACTTTATTATGTTCTGTCTACAATACAGGAATCTCATGAATTGGGCAGCCTACTCCCTGCCAGTTGGGTGCTTCCTAAAAAGTCTTCCTATTACGATGTTGTTTCTCAAAGATGAATAGGTTCTCCTAAGTCTAATGGAATCTGTTATGGATCCTGAACTGCTATGGTACAACTATAACAATTGTGATGCAACTCTGAAAAGTCAAATTCACCTCTGTTTTGCAACAGAGGAGAATTTATATATTTTCTTTATGAACTTATGAGCTGCTTTTTTTTAATGAATAAATAAGGACTTTCAATTTGTTACTAATGTCACAAAGATTATTGTTTTTATGGGTTTGATATTTTCTATTGGGCCTTTATTATTATTATTTGGATGCTACATTTGGAATATTTATTTTGATTAGGTTAAGTGATAACCAGTAGTGAAAAGTCATTCAATCAACTTCATGGAAGAATGGGAATTTGAAATTGGATTTCTCAAATTTACTTCCAATACCATAATGAAAGTATGGCAGCCATTTGGTGGAAAAATATATTCTCTTTAAAAGGTATATATGAACTACTCCATTGGTATCTTTCAAATTAAAGATCCCTTAATGCCCCTCTAGATATTTTGATTAATAATCCTTTATCATTGGCCAGGCTTTGTCTTTGGTGGTAGGAACTTAGTTAAAAACTATATGTTATATTATAAGCATTCCACCTTGCCTATCTATGTTCCATTTTTTGTTTTATATGTAGCTACATCTATTCAGCTACATCTATATCATAAGCATACACATTTACAGGGCCATTTGTCTTTTACTGAACATTATTGAACAAGAAATGCAGGATTTCTTTTTAGACATGTATACCAGGCAATATTACATAACTAAGTCCAGGATAAATGTACTACAGTCCAATAAAATAATGAAATAAAACATTGAATTCAAATGTAGTTCTGCAAAAACTTTTTCCATTTGCAAAAGGACAGAAAACCAACAGATCATCCTGCTGGAAGATGATTCTCCCTTCAGCCTGAACTGCCCTGACTTCGTAAATGAAATACACAGAGTTTCTCAATTTCAATGTTGTTGAAGAAGTGTATACACCATAATATAGTTACTATTGATTTTTTTTTTTTTAAAAAGGTCCACAAACACATAAAATATAAGAATAGGTAAACAGAAATATTTACTTTCTCGTCTTATTGAATGAGGTTTTGCAGGGATGTTCATTAAGAGTTTGTTGTAATTCTTTGTACCTTAAATCAACATTAATCAGTCAGATTTGTTCCTGTTCATATTACTACATTTTATGCAGGTTATCATCCAATACAAAAGCATGCAAATTATGCAATTGCACTTAAATAAATAGTTTATGTATTATTATTAAATGGTTTAATAATAACTTATTAAATGGTTTTAAAAGGATTAAAATGCTTCAAATGATTTCTAAAAGCCCAACAAGTTGTCTATCACTCTACCAGTTTGAAGTCAAGAGTAGATAGATTTCCTGAAAACAATTGAATAGAATATTGCTTGCTTAAGTTATCTTCCAAATTTGTTAAATAAAAGCAAAAAAGCTCCTTTTGTTAAAATGAAGATAATCTTTAGGAAAGAACTTAACTCTTCTTTCGGTGTTGGCCTGAAATATAAAATACATATCTTTTCTCATGGCTGCCTTATTTTTATAGGTTTTCCTGATAAAAAAGAAGAAAAGAGCATCAAAGAAAAGAATTCAAAGCTGAATTCTCCATCATTTCTTTCAGTAACATGTTATCAATAGTTTTCTAATCTTCTGTTTTCTCCTTAAAGTTTCTCCTTAAAACTTTTATTGTTAATCAATATTTTTTCCAGTAAAGTCTTATGTCAAGAAAAATCACGTATCATCATGGCATGTATTGTTGACAATAGCCGACAAAGATTTATCCTTTAGCTGCTCATCAAAAAGAATTGTGGAAATACATGATTAAAACTGCATTGATATGGCTATATACCTAACACATTTATTCATATTCCCTGGTGTGACATCACTCACATTTATTTACATCCCACCTCTCCATCCTAATATTTAATAATATTTCAAAATTTCAAAAAAAAATGCAAATTTTCAAAAACAGGATAATACTTTAAAAGTAATAATTAAACTATCATGAAACAATTCTGACAACTTGGCTGAAGAGACTGTGGAGAAAGTGGGGGACAAAGTCTGGAATGTATTCCACTGAAAGGCATATAGGAAAAAGCCCACTTCCTACATGTAAGAGAAAAGGCTGTACAACCAGGGTCATCTTCAAGAGCACAGTTCCCCAACCTTTCCAGCTTTGCAGACTGGCGGTGTGTCTGTGTGTGTGGAGATAGTTCCATGCGAGCAGCAGGAAAGCAGGCACACAACTCCATTTGCACAAGCAGTGGGCAAGCACGCACATTGCTCATGCAAATGGAGTGCATAAGCATGTACCCAGTGCTTGCGCAAGTGGGGATGTACGCACACTCATCCGCCACTTCCGCGGCCAGGTTCCAAATGGTTCAAGGCCTTGTATTGGGCCACAGCCCAGGAGTTGGGGACCTCTGCTCAAGAGGACACTCCCCCTATATAACTTAATACTTGAAAAGCCACCTCTCTGATAGCCAGCTCCTAATCATCAAGAGCTGAGCAAGTCTGGACTGAGATGCTCATTTTAAGTTCAAAATATCTGTTTTGAATTTCAAGTGGATTATATCTGTCTCTCTAGAACAGATATTCTAGGATTTTCTTGTTTCAAGCTTAGAACATTTTTATGCAGGCAGAATAGCATTAGAATGCTTCTGGTGATGATACAACAACCCATTCTGAACCTGATACAGTTTGTTCAAACAAAAAAGGAATGTTGTGTTGAGATCAAAATATTTTTCAGTAGTTTGTACACTATTATTTGACAGGATAAGAGATCTACTATGAAAGTGTGCTTATAAAATAGGTGTCCTAATAGCATTTAAGGTGGTCATCTTTGATATACACTATTTTCACTAATAGTGAAAGTATATGTTTTACCTATGAATAAATATTTTTGGATCTAATCTTCTAGAATGAATTAATGAATGAAGTCCTAGGAATGAGATTTACTGTACCACATTACTGATTCATGTAGCAGCTTACCAATAAAAGTACACAAAACATGAATTTTCAGGTGAAAATCATAGCTACCGGGAATGGTTCTATCAGATGCTATAACTACCAGCCTAGAAACTTTTTCTAATCCTATTTTGGTAATATTTACCTACTTCAGTTTTGATTGATTTCTGATTATGTGCCATCAAGTTGTTTTCAACTGCTATAATGTAATGATTATTCAAAGCTCAGTTGTAGATAAGGTTGTGTGTTAAAAACATACAGTAATATATTATAGCTGATTACAAGGTGATTATATAAAGATTACACATAGCAAAAAAGATGCAATTGCCAAATGAAATCTTGCTATTATCTTGACTTGTAATTAATTTCATAAAGGTACCCTGCATTCTAAAAATAGTTAAATACAGACGTTTCCAACTTATCCTCATTTACCACAAAATCCAAACTATTTTTTCCAAAAACTGGATAAAATCAATATCTGTTAAACATCATGGTATTTGGTCCATAAGGTTAGCTGTTCCTGAAACCAGAGCTCAGAAGGAGAAGAGTAGCCTCTTTCTACATTTACTTGTCTAAAGAATAACTATCAGACTAAGTCCCTTTTATTCTAAAATCAGATTTTATTCTTCAAAACTATAATACAACTAGCTGTACTTTACTTGTTGAAAGTACAAAAACAACATTCCTTGCAATGTATTCAGTGGCAGACTGCAGTTATCTCTCAGCTTCAGGAACTCCCAACTTCTAATTAAGCAGATAATTAATAGTACCTTTGATCATGCCCACAGCAATTCTGCCAAACCATCTTTACACTAATATCAAATTAATAATTCAGAAATTATTTTTTCTTGTGTATGTGGATGGTCTCAGAATGTGTTTCATAAATTGCTGCAACAAATTAAATGTACCTCAAAATCCCATTTTGAATCTGGCTTTACAACAGAACCACAGTTATACAATGCATCTCTACATCTTTCAGCATTTCACATCCACACAAAGCCTGTGATTGAAACTCTCTAAATCCTCCATATCACTCTTAGTAGATGACAGGTCATGGGAAATATGGAGGAAAACAATAATTTCCTCTCTATCCCACTGATAGTTATATCAGCAAAAACATTTCATTGGACTTCATTTGTTTGTGGATTTTGAAGTAGATCATAGAAGTCAGACACCTTCCTTAGAATTATATATCTAATGTTCTAAACACTTTAAAGCATGGGAGATATTTCTATATATAATTGAGAATTACTCACCTGGACCAAATTCCATCCTATTAAGGATTCAGCAATGATGGATGTTACAGTTGTACATACGCCACCAAAAACCATTAGATGTGTAGGTCCATATTTTATTGCATCATAGAAGGCTTTAAGACCCTTTGCATTGTCACACTAGGGAAAACAAACAAACAAAATCATATGTAATTTCATATTAAATGTGCACTTTGATATTTAAGGATTCCCATAATTAATACCATAATTGAAGGAAAGTAGTCAGCAAGCAGGAACTGTTATTTTAATTGTCCTACATGCCTGCTCTTCTATGTTGTAACAGAGAAATGTCTTTAAATCATATATATAGCATGATACATAAAGAAAATGTCTATCAAAATCTGTGTTCCACTTTTAAATCTAATTTTGCACTTTAGCCAAACTTATTATTGCTATTTCATAACAACATTCCTTACATTATATTCCTGCAAAAAATCTATTCTTCTATCACTGGTCAGAATTATATATATATATATATATATATCAGTATTTATATATTGTTTTTCAACTTCTCATTTAACTCCACTCCCCCCAAATATTCAGTAAAGATAATAAAGCAGTAATAATTTAAAACACGTACATTATGAGAAACACCACCACATATCATAAGCAAAGCAACATCATCTATATAAAGAAATAATTTTAAATCTTTCTGAAGACTAAGTTTAAGATAAGAGTTATCACTATCTCATATATTCAAGAAGTTCACCTTTGACAGTGGTGTAGGCAGTGGTGGGATTCTGCCGGTTCTAGGGGGTTCGGCCGAACCGTTTGTTAAATTGCTGGCTCGCCCCGCCCCTTGCCCTGCCCCTCCGCACCACTGGGCGAGGGGTGGGCGAGCCAGCAATTTAACAAAAACGGTTCGGTGTTTTCCGCGGGGCTTCAAAGAGCCACCCTACATCTGATCAGTGTTAAAAGAAAAGAAATGAATAGACCGACGCCTGCAAATATAAATGGGTAGACCCAGTGGTGGGATTCTACTTTGGTAGAACCGGTTGTTAAGTAGTTAAGTGGTTGCCAAAGTGGGCAGTACCGCCCCCTGGGGGGCGGTGGGATGCCTTAGGGGGGCGGTAAACAGCAAGGGGGGGGCGGCAAGAGGGATGCTAGAGGCAAAGGGGGGCGACAGGGGGGCTAAGTGGCAAGGAGGGTGCCCCCCCTTGACCTATGCCTCGCAGCACTTACCTCCTTGTAAGCAAACAGCAAGAAAAAAACCAGCCTCTTTCAGTTTCAGCATAGGTTAATTAGCATGATTAGATCGGCCTCCGACTCTCAGCTAATTTGCTCTCAGCTGTTTTGCAGGCTTGTTTGCAAGCTCTTGTTTTGCACGCTCTTTGCTTGCTGCAAAGAGTGCTCGAGCAGATTTTTTTTTTCCCTAGCTAAAAGGAAAATGAAAGTAAAGCAGGCTCTGCTGCAACGTGACAAAATGATGCAGGGAGAGAGATTTCTTTTTCTTTTTCTTTCTCCTCACCAAAAAAGGTAGGTGCAAACAATGGGAAATTTAGGGCAAAAGAGGAGAGTTCAAGATTTTAAAAGACAAAAGAAAAAAAGCTCTATTTAACTAGGGAATTGTAATAATTGGGATACTATTAATTGTATATTGTGTTGAAAGCAGAAATGGTTAAGTTGTGGTTTGGAGGAATATATAGGGGAAATTATTTAGTTTATTATTATTGGTAAATATAATTAATTGATTTGTAAGAAATTGGATTGCATGAAAATAATTGGAATATTCATGTTCATATTGATTAATATACAAAAAAGATAGTTATATAATTAATTGATTTATATTAAAATGTTGAATTTGTATTAAACAACTGTATTACATAATTACATAATTAACCAATGTGAGGATGGATATAAAAATAGATGACAATGGGAAGGGGTATAATATAGAATAGAAGGGAAAAATTGAATTTGATTAAGATTAGAGATGAGGATGAAGGGTAATATTGGTTTTTTTAAAAAATAGATGAGGAATAAATATGGCAAAAAGGAAATATAGAAATTATAAATTTAATTGAAATGACTAAACACTGTTTAAATTTGTGAACCAGCCAAATACTCTGTTCAAAGAAAATACATTGTATGTTTGTATGTGTGTTTCTAATTATTGCTATTTATTCATATTTGTTCTCTTTTATTCTTTAAAGTTTAACAATTGATTCTTTATCTTAATATCTTTATATTTGTTTGGGGTTGGCTTTCTTCCCTTTCATCTTTTTTATTGTACAGCAATCTTTCTCCTCAAACCTACTACCCCTCTCTTTTCTTGCCTTCTTACTTTCTCTTCCCCCCCTCTTCTTCTCCTTCCTACTTCCTCTTCCTTTCTCCTTCTCCTCCTCTCTTCCTCCCTTCTCTTACCCTCACTCCTACTCTAATTTCCCTTCCTTCATCCCTCTCTATTGCTGTATCCTTTTATGCATATGGACTACTCAGAGGGCTGAAAAAGTTATTTTTGACTGGTTCTCGCACTTTTGACCAGTCCTCGAACTTACGACTGTCCTAACATTTTATGTTTTTGCCCTATCTTGTCACCATGGTGAAGAGAAGCAGTTGTGAAATGAGTGACACGGTTGTTAAGAATGCTACAATGGGCATAAATGATGACCAGTCATAAGTGCGAAGACCGGTCAAAAGTGCGAGAACCTGTCAGAAATCACTTTTTTCAGCCCTCTGGGTAGTCCTTTTGTGCATATGGACTACTCAGAGGGCTGAAAAAGTTATTTTTGATTGGTCCTCGCACTTTTGACCAGTCCTCGAACTTACGACTGTCCTCACATTTTACGTTTTTGCTCTAGCTTGTCACTATGAAGAAGAGAAATAAGTGACACGGTTGTTAAGAATGCCACAACGGGCATAAATGTGAGGATGGTCATAAGTGCGAGGACCAGTCAAAAGTACGAGGACCAGTCAGATATGACTTTTTTCAGCCCTCTGAGTAGTCCCTATGCAGATAGCCACGCCCACCCGGTCACATGACCAGCTAGCCATACCCACCCAGTCGTATGACCACCAAGCCACACCCCCAACTAAGCCACGCCCACAGAACCGGTTGTTAAAAAATTTGAATCCCACCACTGGGTGTAGGACATATGATAGAAGTTTTTGAACTGGCAGAAAAGCTATGAAGGAGTAGACAGTCTCTCATTTAGCATGGCCCCAAACTTTATTCACACTAATTAATATCTGAATTAGTCCAAGAAACACAAAACAGATTAAATGGCAACAGTCACATGCCCTGAATAGAGAGGCTCCATTAACAAACTATGCTCAGAAGGAGCTGTAGTAAAAACCAACGATTCAAACCCAAATTCCTTCCAGTATTCTGACTGCTTTACATGCAGAAGTGGTGCTTCATCCCTGCAGTGCAAAGGGGCTTCTTTTACAAGCCAAGCCAACCAACTCAGCTAATACTTTAGAAGAAAATATGAAAATAATAAATAAATAAATAAATAAATAAATAAATAAATAAATATATAATTAAATATATAATCAGAAATTTGGAGCTAGTAACGGGAACCTAGCCATTGGTGGGAACTTCTGATATGTCAGTCTCCCACTTCTTAACAGCCATTTGTGTCATTTTTTTCTCCTCACAAAATGGGTGAGGAATATTAATTTTTTCCCCTCTACAGTTAACCAGCTGGCAGTGGAGGGGAAACCGACCAATTCAAGTAGATCCCTGGCAGCCACAAAATGTCAGCATAGTTGCAACTGAAAACGTTTAAGGGCTGGAACATTAGCTATTGAAGGCAATGTAGTGAAGCTACACAAACTCACTCCTGCTCAGAACCTACACATTGCTTTAGGAGACCAGCTGAAACTGCACCACTGATTTTTCAGAAACATATTAGATAATGCACTTCACTTACTGGCTATTCCCAGTTTACCTTTCCCTTGTTAGCTGCTATTAGCTTCCAATACCAGCTATTTTAAAGTATTGCTATATTAAAATGCCCATGTTTTCTGAAAATAATCTATTTAACTGTTCCTTATAACAAATATTGGTTTCTAATAAGTTATATATACAATCTCTTTTCTGCAATGGAATTTACAAATAATAGAGATTTTTCTATACAGACGTTTATTGAAAACCATATAGTAGAAAGAAAATACTAGGTAAGGCACATAAATTACTTACTCCTCAGATCCACTTTCCCAAAGGAAATAAACTGTTATCTCAACCATTAAATATTTATTTTAAAAAATGTTGATTAGGGCACTATGAGATGGAATTAACACTAGGAAGCAAAGTTGCTGGGCGATAATACAGGAGAAGATGGTAATACATTAATGATAATTGTATTCATACAACATAGCCTTTGTCTCAATCAATGAGCTACTGTCTTTGTAAATGAACCCTCATTATGTCACTATCTTTATTTCATCAATATGCAAGTACAATCAAATTATGATGCTCAATCCAATCAATAGTTCTGCTGCAATGATCATATGATTATTGGAATTTGCCTAAGTCTACATACAGGGTTACATTTCTGCCCTTTCCAAGTTTGCTTCTGCTAACTCTGGAACTGTAAGTAAACAGGATGCCTACTACAAGTGATGCCTGATCTCTGAAACAAATTCTAAAAGGTAACTTATACTACAATTTAGTATCAGCAGTAGGATAGAGGGAAACACTGAAGCAATAACAACAGCACTTAGACTTCTATATCGCTCCATAGTGCCTTATAGCACTTTCTGAGCGGTTTACAATGTCAGCTTACTGCCTCAACTAACTGGATCTTGATTTTACCAACCTCAGAAAGATGGAAGGTTGAGGCAACCTTGGTCAGGATTGAACTCCTAGCTGTGAGCAGAATTAGCCTACAATACTGCATTGTAACCACTGTGCCTCCACAGCTCCTCAAGGTAGTTATTTTGTAGCAAGAATCAGCCATTATCTGTTGACCCATAATCTTTTTCTTTTGTGTCACCTGGCAACCACCAGCAACCTTTGATTATTATTATTATTATTTATTGAATTTCTATACCGCCCTTCTCCCGAAGGACTCAGGAATGATGCTTCTAGATATTCAATGGGGAAACCCCAATAGTTTGTGAAACCACGAATTTCATCCCATGTTTTGCTTTGAGAACTGGCCAGGGTTCTTCTGAGT